ATGCTTAAGCTGGACCTGGTTGACTATGGCAGAAATGTCATGAGGGGCCAAGACAACCAGGGGGTGGCCAAGGACAACATCCCCAGTTCTTTCAATGAGCTCTCTGGCAGCAAAGACGGCCCGAAGGCAAGAGGGACGTCCTCTGGCCACAATATCCAGTTGGCAGGAGAAAAATCCAATAGGCCTTTGGCGGCCTCCAGGACCATGAGCCTGAGTGAGTACTCCTGTTGCATGGCCTTGTCTTACAGAAACAAACAATTTGAAGGGTTTGGTATAGTCTGGTAGGCCAAGAGCAGGAGCAGAAGCAATAGCACGTTTGAGAGAACAGAAGTTGTCAAGGGCTTCTGTGGACAAGCAAAATGGGTCTGACTTGAGAGCATCATAAAGAGGTTGCATAAGGAGCGAGGCTTCAGGGATCCATGCTCGGCAATAGGAAATGAGGCCTAGGAAGGCGTGTAGTGACTTCGAGGTCCTTGGAGGTGGAATGTCCAGTACCGCTCTAACTCGGTCACGGGTAAGATGTCTAGTTCCCTGAGACAGACAATGGCCAAGGAAGATAACAGTAGGTTGGCAGAATTGCAGCTTGAGACGTGAAGCTTTACATCCTTGTTCTGCTAGGTAGCAAAGAAGATTAAGTGAGCATAGTTCTGTTGTGGGTATATCATCTCCACAAAGCAGCAAATCATCCACATATTGAAGCAGGACGACCTCAGGATGGTCAGATTGCCATGGATCAAGGATAGAGCACATGGCCTTCGCAAATTGACTTGGTGAATTTTGTGCCCCTTGGGGCATGACAGTCCATGTGTACTGTTGTTTTTCATGTGTGAAAGCAAACAGATATTGGCAAGTTGGATCCAGGGGAACACTGAAGAAGGCATTGGCCAGATCAATTACAGTGAAGTACTTGGCAGAGGGTGGAACGCCGGAAAGGAGAGTGTGTGGGTTGGGCACTATTGGAGTGTCCAAAACTGTGGCTTCATTTACCGCTCTGAGGTCTTGGACCAATCTGTACTTTTCTGGTTCGCCTTTTGGAGTCTTTTTCTTTACTGGAAATAATGGAGTATTGCATGGTGATTCACATTTGACAAGAGCACCCTTCTCCAGGAGTGCTTGAATTTGAATTGTAATGACTGCAGCTTGAGCTGGTTTCAAAGGATACTGTGATTTTCGTGGCAATTTTACGCCTGGGATGAGCTTTACCACCACAGGCGGGACCTTTAGATGGCCTATGTCCTCTGGGCCTGTGGACCACAGCTTCTTGGGAACATCAGTCTTTAGTGAATCAGGGAAATTAGTCCTTAGGTCTTTTGCATCCCCATGAGGCTCTTCTAGATGTAGCATCAAGGGTAAGGAGCACAAAGCTGAGGTGTCTGAGACAGATAGAGGGGTGGATAGTTCCACTTGTCCATCTGGAGTAAAGGTGATGGATGCCTGCAGGCGTGAAAGAACATCAGCTCCTAACAGGTTAATGGGGCATGTGGAAGATACCACAAAGCGAGCAAGCAAGTTGTGGCAGTTACCAACCCGCAGTGGGGTGGACAGGGGACTTAGCCTTGGAAGGCCGTCCACCCCAACACAGGAGACATCAATATTGGAAAGAAATGAGGTATCAGGCAGGTCTTGTTCTCTCAGAACACTTCGGGCTGCACCTGTGTCAACTAGGAAAGTGGTGGGCTGGCCCTCAATGGGTAAAATTACAGTAGCTAGAGGCCCCCCCTGTTCCCCTGAAGACACTGCCATGGCAGGGGCATTAAGCATCAGCGGGTTTGCTCTCCTCAGTATGGGCTGTGTTACTGACTCAAACCCCTTTTGTATGTCATTAGCCATAGCTTTTTGCAGTCTGAACATGTCTATCATTATAAATAATGGTTAATAGTAAGTTAAGTAAAGTTGCTATATGTCTTTGGATAAAACATTAACTATTGCGGTACTATCATTTATATCAATTAGACTATAACAATTATACCACCCTGTAACTAAAATGAATAACCAGTAGTGGCTGGGTTAATAAACATGTCACAAACCCTTCTAATGCTAAACCATCATTTAAAGTAAAGGATGTTACTGTAAACATAAGATCTGTAACTAGCAAGATTCGATTAAGTAAAGATACAATGTTTAAAATAACTTGCATTATTTAGCTATTTCCCTTGTTGCAAGATTAATCTGGATAATCAGCTGTTATGTTCTTATATTCGTGTCCAACAGATCTCATTTGTAGGTCACACCACAGTTGCAAATTACATTTTAGCAACCTTCTTTTTTTTTTATATCACGGACAAATTTCTGATACAGGGAAACAAATGGCATGATTGTTTTAGTAATTATAATGTTTCAGTTCATAATATGTAGAGTGTAAGGAAAACCACATGTCTCTAATAGGGGTAGGCCTCATGATGGAGGCAGCCATGACAGGGGCGGGGAAGGAAATGACAGCAAGGGAGGAAGTGAGAGGGGTGACGTCCATGATATGTGTGGGAAAGGAAGACAGGAGGTGTGGGCATGGTAAGGGCGGAAGTGACGTCACTTTAGAAGCAACCGTGACTGTGGATAGGTCACGGGACTGGCAGGCGCCATCTTTAGGGTGGTGGTTGACGTACTTTCAACCATACACTATATTAAAACTATTAAAATAAGTCAGAGAAGCAACATTCTGTTCTGCAAAATGGAATACTAAACTATGAACAGACCTGGCAGGTTAAATAAGACAGTTGAAAATATTATGCATTTAACAGCCCATACAGCTGTCTTCTAGAAACATGTTCTTTAAAATGATGCAAGATAAACTCGCGGAATTCAACCAAATTCCCTTATCTTCCTCAAACCATTAATCACTTTCCTCTTCACATACTAGCTTAACTCCGCATATTCCCTCTATCCACATTGCATAGTTCTGCAACAAATCACGCTTGCCTATACACTTAACACGTCCAAATATTCCACTATTCTTGTATCAGATGCACTTACCTCCGTAAATCAACACTGAGCTACATTCTTGTGTCTCCCCCACAATCCTCACTACTTTATCACAAAATTCAATCTATACATACACACATATATATATATATATATATATATATATATATACACACACATATATATACATATACAAACGGCAAACGGCAACAATAATAATATTATTACACAACTATAACACCATAACCTCTGAATTAGAATATTTTCCAGCAAAAATCCCATTCCTAACTCTTATCAGTAGCTCCGAAATGCAGAAGGCATGTACCTCCATCATTCGGAGGCAAGTGGGGAGGAAAGGGGGGGGGGATGTGAGACAGTGCAAAAAAGGGAGAGAAGCTGCAGGCATGAAGATTAACCATGTGAGTGCTGTAAAGTAACAAGACAGAAGGACAGAGACTTATACGTTTGGAAACCAGAAATCTTTGACGGGAGAAACGGACTGGAGGTGCAGGGAGCTGCAGAGAGAGGATGAGGGTGACGAGATCTGTAGGACTGATGGGGGGGGGGAATAGGGATCCATCAGCATCCAGTAACACAATTATTATAATACACAAACAATCTTAAACCTTTGTGATCAATATCTTCCTCAACCTATCCCTTTTGCTGAATAGCTCTTGCTACTCGGTACCAGGCTTCTGCTGTACAAACCAAATCTTGGTCCGACAGCTTCCCTTTCTTCTGTCAGTAACTTACGCCAGCTCTCTGGCTACAATCTGCCGCACAGAGGTACGGTAATTCCACATACTTTAGCAATCTTACTCACTTTCTTAACCATCTCTTCTCCTTCTCTGTCTTCCACTAGATCACATGCTAACCAACCCTTACTGGGTTTATCTAACTTCTGTCCCATCCTCCCTATATAAGGCGTCCCAGATATAGAGAGAGAAAGGAACAGAACGTCTACCGTGCTCGACTGCTACTTTAAGAGCAAGCTCTTTAAGTACGTCTTCCCAAAACGTAGACTAGTCACTGATTCCGCCTACCCGTGGTAGCCGCGGATTGGAGCGTGGCGAGAAGTGTGTGACCAATCACTTCTCTCAACAAAGAGAAAGAGAAATAGGAGGGGAAAGTGTAAATAGTACAGTGAGTAAGATAGAAGTAAACACAGGAATCTGTGTGACAGACAATTAAGACAATAACATTTCAGTGTAAATACAGTGCATGCATCACAGTTCAAATAAGTTCAACAGTGTTATCCCTTGCCTTTACTCGTGTGGCCAAAAGCCACCTCCCTCAACCTCGTAGTGTCCCTGTTGCGGACCCACCCGCAAGTCTCACTACCAGCAGCCACAGGAAACAGCAACAGCTTCCAACCCGAATCCTGTATAGCCTAAAGAATTGGAATCTTACCTGTCTCAGCGCTTGAGACTGGAATTTTACCAAGAAGAAGTGTCTGATGAGGCTAGCTAAGCGGTCAAAATGACACTCTGGGGATCCCCAGGAAGCAGTGAGTCTACTGCCCTCCACAGATCCCCCCTACTCTTTTTCCTTACAGCCACAGCCACGTGGCTCCTAAAAGAGTTAAACAGGCAATAGAGGACCCCCAGGAAAACTTCCACAGGTCCACCCCCCTTTTTCCTTACTACCACAGGCATGTGGTACCTAAAAAGGGTTAAACAGGCACTTACACTCCCCGGGTACTAAGTTAAACACATACCAATACAAACACACCCAGGCAACAGATAGTCAACATGCAGGTAAACTAGGTATCATTAACAATACAAAGACTCTGGGCAAGTTATTACCTGACTTTGATGTCCTCTCGGCAGCAGTCACAGACACTGGGGCAGGTCAATCACAGGGGTAGGAACATACCGGCTAGGTGCTGCAGCAATCTCTACCGTGTATTCAGAGGTGATCAGGCTCTTTTCCTTCCCCCAGGATTCAGCCCCCCCAGCGTCTTCTTGGACAGCTGCCCAGACTGGACATAGCCCAGAGCCCCACGTTGAGAGCCAATTGTTCTAGATGATTTACTGCAAACCAATTAGTTTGAATGACTATCTGTTCCTGTCCAAATTAAAGATAATAAAGTTGCGTGCACGCAGAAGTAAATTCACACTGAGACACAAGGTTCAGGGTAATGAAAGAACTTCAGAGAAGTTTAATGGCTTCTGACAGAAAATGGGTGCGCAGACCCTTATAAAGGCATTATTACATCATTGAAGAAAATCAAGATATAGACAAATAGACATTGTTAATTGGCTTAGGTGCTAAGATGTTAGTAAAATGCCCTCCCCATTCTTAGGTCACTATCTACGTAATTTCTTAACTCCTACAGGTTTTAGCGCCATTTTGTTAAAATGAGGAGCTCACTCGACGGGAGGGGCCTTTTGGCAGCTATCCATTTGGAGCGTAGCTGGCACTTGTTAGTTTCTCAAGGTTAAGTTTCAAGGATTTTAGTAAATACACATTTTATCAAAGCTATTTCTTGCTGACATGCAAATTCTATGTTCTATAGACAAAGCTTCCTTGTAAAACTATGGGGGCCTCTTAGAGGTATAGCAAGAGGATTTAAAGGGGCCTTACAAATTTATAGAGGCCTAATAATTCTACAACAGTAACCTTCCACTAGGCAACATTTGGAAACCACACACTTTGGCAATCTTTTTAATCTTTAACATTGCATCTCCCCCTGCCCTTTCTTTTACAATGTCACAAGCTAACAATCCCTTAGCAGGTCTAGCATGTTCCTGCCCCATCTTGATCAAGCAGAGTGAGGCACGTGTGAGAGACAGATATACAGAGAAGAAGAAAGAGGGATGTCTACAGTGCTCGACTGCCACGACGACTTGAGTCCCGTGCGTCTTCCCCAAACGTAGACTAGTCACGAAGGACCGCCCACCCGGGGTGGTGGCCACGGACCGGAGCGAGTGAGCATGGGTGACTAACACAGCTCTGGGCAACAAACGCAGGAGAGATAAAGGACAAATGAGAAGATGAACGTGGCTACACTAACCAGAAGACATTTACAGAAATCACACACGTAAAGATGGGTGTAAACCCCTGAATCCAGAACTAGCCACACAACACACACACACCGAGGGTACCCACACTGTAACAGCAGTTGAACAAAAAACACAGAATGACAGAGAGCAAAATAGCCATGTACATGTTAATACAACCTGCACTGAATATTCAAATTGCAACAATCCCCAGCCCTCCCCACCAGACTGGTTCCCCGTAACACAATTCTTTATGAAAACACAGTAGTAGTCAAGCTAAAACCCAGCCCTCTCCGGCTGCAATGCGTCCCCTGCCCGCTAGGCAGTCAAGCTAAAACGCAGCCCTCACCGGCTGTAATGTGTCCCCTGCCCGCTAGGTAGTCAAGCTAAATCCCAGCCCTCACTGGCTGTAATGCGTCCCCTGCCCGCTAGGCAGTCAAGCTAAATCCCAGCCCTCACCGGCTGTAATGAGTCCCCTGCCCGCTAGGCAGTCAAGCTAAATCCCAGCCCTCACTGGCTGTAATGAGTCCCCTGCCCGCTAGGCAGTCAAGCTAAATCCCAGCCCTCACCGGCTGTAATGTGTCCCCTGCCCGCTAGGCAGTCAAGCTAAATCCCAGCCCTCACCGGCTGTAATGAGTCCCCTGAATCCAGAACTAGCCACACAACACACACACACTGAGGGTACCCACACTGTAACAGCAGTTGAACAAAAAACACAGAATGACAGAGAGCAAAATAGCCATGTACATGTTAATACAACCTGCACTGAATATTCAAATTGCAACAATTCCCAGCCCTCCCCACCAGACTGGTTCCCCGTAACACAATTCTTTATGAAAACACAGTAGTAGTCAAGCTAAAACCCAGCCCTCTCCGGCTGCAATGCGTCCCCTGCCCGCTAGGCAGTCAAGCTAAAACCCAGCCCTCACCGGCTGTAATGTGTCCCCTGCCCGCTAGGTAGTCAAGCTAAATCCCAGCCCTCACTGGCTGTAATGCGTCCCCTGCCCGCTAGGCAGTCAAGCTAAATCCCAGCCCTCACCGGCTGTAATGAGTCCCCTGCCCGCTAGGCAGTCAAGCTAAATCCCAGCCCTCACTGACTGTAATGAGTCCCCTGCCCGCTAGGCAGTCAAGCTAAATCCCAGCCCTCACCGGCTGTAATGTGTCCCCTGCCCGCTAGGCAGTCAAGCTAAATCCCAGCCCTCACCGGCTGTAATGAGTCCCCTGAATCCAGAACTAGCCACACAACACACACACACTGAGGGTACCCACACTGTAACAGCAGTTGAACAAAAAACACAGAATGACAGAGAGCAAAATAGCCATGTACATGTTAATACAACCTGCACTGAATATTCAAATTGCAACAATTCCCAGCCCTCCCCACCAGACTGGTTCCCCGTAACACAATTCTTTATGAAAACACAGTAGTAGTCAAGCTAAAACCCAGCCCTCTCCGGCTGCAATGCGTCCCCTGCCTGCTAGGCAGTCAAGCTAAATCCCAGCCCTCACCGGCTGTAATGCGTCCCCTGCCCGCTAGGCAGTCAAGCTAAAACCCAGCCCTCATCGGCTGTAATGCGTCCCCTGCCCGCTAGGTAGTCAAGCTAAATCCCAGCCCTCACTGGCTGTAATGCGTCCCCTGCCCGCTAGGCAGTCAAGCTAAATCCCAGCCCTCACCGGCTGTAATGCGTCCCCTGCCCGCTAGGCAGTCAAGCTAAAACCCAGCCCTCACCGGCTGTAATGCGTCCCCTGCCCGCTAGGCAGTCAAGCTAAATCCCAGCCCTCACCGGCTGTAATGAGTCCCCTGCCCGCTAGGCAGTTAAGCTAAATCCCAGCCCTCACCGGCTGTAATGCGTCCCCTGCCCGCTAGGCAGTCAAGCTAAATCCCAGCCCTCACCGGCTGTAATGCGTCCCCTGCCCGCTAGGCAGTCAAGCTAAAACCTCTGAAGAAAACCGGTTATCACACTCATTCATACAAACACAGGAGGCAGATAGACAATCGACAGGTTCGTTCAAAAGGGACACCGGATGAGCTAATTACCTGTCTCTAGTAGCCTTCTGGAAGCCGGAAGTGGACTCGGAGGCAGACCGACACAAAACAGGAGAATAACACAGGCAACGGCTGTATTATGGAGGTGATCAGGCTCCGCTTGTCCCACTTTCCGGAGGTTCGCTCTGGTCCGTTGGTTTCCGGCCCTCCGAACCGGCACTACGGTGACCCCACGTTGGGCGCCAATTGAAATGGAAAAATCAACCAATAAATTGATTATTTCTTTGTGTATCTGCCCCTGGCCAAATCAGTGAAACAATGCGTGCACGCTCCCTGAAGTAATTCACACCAGACACAGGTTCCAGGTTGTTGAATAACTTGAGGAAAGTTTATTCAGAGGGGACGGCAAGTCCCTTTTAAAGCAAAATTACATCATAGGTACTGTCAGAGATAACATGGAATAATACATCAATAATTGGTTAGGTGTTAAGTGGTCTTCCTAATGCTCTGCCTACTGAGGGTGATGTCACCGGGACCATGAGGGTCTCCCACGGTCTCCCGGCGCCATCTTGCTGCACGAGGTAGTTAGTCGATGTTATTGGGGAGGAGGGGTTAGAAGCTTCTAGCAGCCATTTTGACTAAAATATATGTGTATAGCTTATATACTGGTTTTTGTGAAATGAGTAAATAGACATTTTACTAACTAGGAAATATATGAAGACCTTATTTCCACAACAGCCAGTGAATGGCCAACTTCTTGAAGAACTGAAGAAATTAAATCAAATGGATGAAAACACCACTCTAATGACACTGGATGTATCTAGTTTATATACAGTGGTCCCCCACGAAGAAGAGATAGAGGCAATAGGAGAACTCCTATTGGAAACTGAACAATATCAAGGGCCGCCAATTGAATATGTTTTGGAACTTTTGTCTCTTGCGTTAAAGAATAATTATTTCTGCTTTGAAACAAAATGGTACTTACAGAAAGCGGGTACTTCCATGTGGGCAGCAATGGCCCCCATGTATGCTAACTCATACATGTACCAATTTGAAAAAAGCATATCTTAAAATTATTCTCTGGACATATTTTGAAGTACTTTTGATATATCGATGATATCCTGATCTTGTGGAAAGGCAATACAGAAGACGCACAGAAGTTTGTGGAATATATAAATAAGCTACCAACACCCATAAGAGTTACATTGAATATCAACACACAAGCAATACAATTTTTAGATTTGGAGATTATTCTCGAACAAGGGAAGATTGAATATCAGCTTTTTTCTGAACCAACAGACCGCAACACATTGCTTTACTTACATAGTTACATTACATAGTTACATAGTTAGATAGCTGAAAAGAGACTTGCGTCCATCAAGTTCAGCCTTCCTCACATTTGTTTTTTGCTGTTGATCCAAAAGGAGGCATAAAAAAACAGTTTGAAGCACTTCCAATTTTGCAACAAGCTAGGAAAAAAATTCCTTCT